GCTGTGTTATGGCTCAGCTTGTTGCTAGTGGGCATGATGTTGACCCAATCCGTGCCTTCGAATAATATACAGGGTCCTTCTACCCCAGTCGAAAGGCCTGCGCCTCCGCAAACTTGCTGCTGCCAAGGTGATAAGCATTCGGTTGTATCAACCGCTTTTGTGTGCACGAAAGAAGCTGATCGAAGCTCTTAAGCTTCTTAGGCCAGACAAAGCGGCTGATTCTGAAGTCAGTTGTAATCGTTCGACAACACCTTAGCCCTAGTTAGCCGGTTGTTGCTAGTTTATGCCATTGGCAGGCAAGTGATCGAATCTCATCTGAGCTGGTCGGATCCACTGTTATGTCCATTGCTATTTTACTCATATGATTGTATAGGTCTTACGATGAATCATCGAAAATAATAGTTTAACTTCGGTCTTGGCCAATAGGTTTTCTGAGCTTTATATGACCAACCAAAATAACAGAGTGACTTGAGTAACGGGTGTTTAATTTATCATGTCCGGAGCTAGGAGCGGCTGCACTCAGGTGCTGATTTACTCGGGTACGCTGAATTGCTAACTGTCCAACGGCGCAAATTGCTTTGCCGGCAGGGGTGAGATGGGGCACAGAGGCGCGACATGTGTGTCTACGATCGCAGGGCACACCGAGCCGTTCGGCTGTGAGAAGTGAACGTTAGCAAACACCGCAGCCGCAATCGACCTGTCATGCGTGGATCGCAGGGCAAGACCAACGGAACGCAGGCCGTTCGGCTGTGAGAACTGGACGTGAGCCAGACACCACAGCCGCACTGAACGTGTCATGCTTCGATCGATCGGTAGTCGGCCTTCACGCAGGTGAAAAAGCCAGCAAAGGGTTCCCTGCGAAGTGGTTAGTGGGTCGCTGTGCTAGCAATTGAGAAAACAGCCTGGCCGTATGTGATGACCGGTCGATGGGCGCCGTATTGCTATCGCCACAAAAGCTGTTATCGCCTCATGACTGGCTTCCAACAAACCCGTAAGCTTTTATTAGGCTGCTTTCGCTGCTAAAGGGAATCATACTGCCGGGAGCACATTGTAAGGTTACAGTGTTGTTCGCTTTACCGTTTCGATCGCGTGTGTGTTACAGCTGAAAATTCACCCTTCATGGTTGCATAAGAAAGCATTCTTGACTTTAGGTGAAAATGCTCTTAGATTTCAATCTGTCCTGATGGCATCATTAGACATCACACCAATTTAGTCATGAATGCAACTATTGCCCTCACAGTCAGACAATTGCTAGTTGTACAACTCGATGGTGTTTCTCGTGTAGAATGGAGAATATACATTTATTAATTTCTTTACTTGTATTTACATGAAATGTCGGTAAATATCAACGAATTAGATGTTCGCGACATCAAACAAAGCGGACGACCTCGCAACGTCATGGATGAAGTATCAGCTTTCGCGGTTGTACAAGAGGTTTGCAGTAACAGCCACCTCAGTATTCGGCAACTCGCACAAGATTGCAAAACCACACCGCATGATGTGCATCGGATAATGAAGGGGAAAAATTCCGACGGTACAGTGCACTGCAGGTGCAAGTGTTGAACGCATGCGATTTACAGAAGCGCCTGGAATTCGCCCGTTTGCTTTTAAACAGTCTGAAGGTGCATTCCATTTTGTTCACCGCTGAGGCGGTGTCCCTTCTGCATGATGAAGATACACAACATGTTTAGGCAACAAGTAACCCCACGGCAATGTAGCGTTCCACGTGTGCAGCATAGCGCGAAGTTCATGACGTGGGCTGGGCTGACTAGTCGTAAAATTGTTGGGCTTTTTTTCTTTTCCAGTACTGTGTCCAGTAGGTTGTCATTTAACAGTACCATTTGTGACATTTGTTACCATCCTCGTACAAGGGAATGTTGTAGAGCAGCGCCATTCCGCAGCTACAGTCGAAAGAGTAAATGAATAACGTATATTGCCAGCAGGATGGCGCAACTACACATTCGGCGCAATCGGTTCGTGCGTACCTGAACGAGACATTCGGTAGACGTTGGATAAGTCGCGGGGGACGGATACAATGGCCTGCGCGACCACCAGATCTGAATCCAATGGATGTTTTCCTATGGGGATATTTGAAGCGCAGAGTTAATAGAACGAAACCCAAAAACCTGGATGAACTGAAACCAAACGTAGTGAACGAATACAGGCAGATTTTGTTGGGGACATTGCAGAATGTGCACGCCAAAACCAACCAACGAACGCTCTTCTGTAGCCAAAAGGACAGAGGGCAGTTCGAACATCCAATTCGTTGATATTTACAGAAATTTTACACATTTCATGTAAATATAAGTAAAGAAACGAATAAATGCATATTCTTCATTATACACGAGAAACGACATCGAAGGCCTGATCAATTTGTACAACTAGTAATTGTCCGAATGTGAGGGCAATAGTAGCATTCATGACTAAATTGGTGGGCTGTATGATGGTGCCACCAGTGCGTCGGGGCAGACTGAAATCTAAGAGCACTTTCACGTCAAGCCAAGAATTCTTACTTATGCACTCCTGAAGGGTGGATTTTCGGCCGTAACACACACGAGATCGAAGCAGTAAAACGAACAACACCGGAACCTTACAACGTACTCACAGCAGTATGATTGCCTTTAGCAATGAAAGCGTCATAATAAAAGATTACAGGTTTGTTGGGACCCAGTCATGAGGCGATAACAACTTTTGTGGCGATAGCAATACGGCACCCATCGACCGGTCATCACATACGGCCAGGGTGTTTTTCTCAATTGTTAGCACAGCGACTCACTAACCACTTCGCAGGGAACCCTTTTGCTGGCTTATCACCTGCGTGAAGGCCGACTACATAGAGATCGAAGCATGGCACGTTCAGTGCGGATGTGTTGTCTGGCTCACATCCTGTTCTCACGGCCTAGCGGCCTGAATTTCAGGCATGACACATTCATTGCGGCTGTGGTGTTTGCTAACGTCCATTTCTCACACCCGAACAGCCCGCGTTTCGTTGGTCTTGGCCTGCGATGCAGGCATGACACATACATTGAGGCTGTGGTGTTTGTTGACGTTCAGTTCTCACAGTCGAGCGGCGTCCGTCCCATTGGTCTTGCCCTGCGATCCACGCGGGACAGGTCGGCTGTGGCTGTGGTGTTTGCTAACGTTCACTTCTCACAGCCGAACGGCTCGGTGTGCCCTGCGATCGTAAACACACATGTCGCGCCTCTGTGCCCCATCTCACCCCTGCCTGCAAAGCAATTTGCGCCGTTGGACAGTTAGCAATTCAGCGTACCGGAGTAAATCAGCACCTGAGTGCAGCCGCTCCTAACCCCGTACATGAGTAATAAAACATCTTGTAGGTGGACCCATACACACAACCCCAGACACACATACACATAAGTGCATATTTATCTGCTTCGCTTTTTTTCATTCTTCTCTTTGCATCCTAATTTGCTGACGTAGTTATATAGGCTTCATTTTACAGTTTTTTTCACCGGAGCGGACCTTCTTCTGTCTGCTCGTGTAGGTGCCTTTTCGTACGCAACGCTGATGATCTAAATTAGCTCACTATAGTTCAATCTGTTTACTGATCGCAAGTGGTATCATGGCAAAAAGCACTACGACTGGATCACCTAATCAGATTTAAGAAGGCGTAACTAGATGGATCAAAGTCTACTCATAGCAGTAGTTCGATCGAACGGTTTGAAATAAATAAAAAAACGGTACTAACATGAAAGTTCAGCCTAACAATGTAGACAAAATGTCATCCCCAAAGGAGCCCACATCTGCGAGCTGGGTGGACAGTTAAGTCTGACTTAGCGTTGAGGAAGAAAGTCAAGCACACGCAGTGCTTGCATCCAGTAAGACAAACCTAAACTATAGACCAGTTGAAACGGTTTGAATGCGACCGCAAGTGATGGCTGTAAAGTCCCTATATTTTTTAATTTCTAGCGGAAACCAGATTTTTCCCCTTAAAGCCGCAGTACCATCGATCGCATCCAATGTCACCATTATCAGGCAGCGTTGTGCTTGGTCTTCTAATGGCAGTCACACTTTATCCGTTAATAAATGAGCTCATTAGCGCACACTTTCACCGTTGATAATCATGTTATTAACACCCGCTGCATGCACGTTACAAGCCTAGCCGAGAGTTATACTTGGCACGGCCTACTGACTTCTAGAAATGCAATGCAATGCAATACTTCCTGTTCCAAGACCGCGTGTAAAAGTTGATGTTCTATACTCCTCTGTACGCAGTATGCACGTTATCTAGTCCCCAGTCCTCTTTCGCTACAGCGAAACGAAGTAACTAGCAGCAGCGTATAAAAAGTTCAAGAATCTCTCTAACATACGAGAGGATAAGATTAAGCAGTCAGTTCATAGTTCCCAACGTATGCCATTTTTGTAAGGATGGATATGATATACTTGAGCACAGTAGAAGGGATATTTCCATAGGTAGGAAAAAATGACTTTATTCCTTGGTTGCACCATATGTTTGTGCCCACGGTAAAAATACAAGCTTATCTGGATCTTATTTCCAAATATTACACAACTATGGGATGACCGCAACCCAGTTGTCACTCACTACGCTTCTCCGTCATCTGAGAAGTTGCGGGCGTCGTCTGCTGAGAAAACTGAGCTGGTTTATGACTCGTTGCATGCCGTCTTTCCCGGCGTTGTTTAGCTGGGAGGCAGGGTTGCCATCAATCACAAACTCTTAAGATCAGGAAGTTCATCCGGTACTTAATCACCTATCCGTCCGCACGTGCACTAGAAGTACTAAGCACTATCGACCAACATGGACCAGTGGATCGCGTGACATAAAGTCTAGGCACCATGTTAAGGAAACCCAGATTTCGAGTGGTAAACACGGAAGGTACATAGTATCTGGTGCAGGGTAATCTATCTCTAAAACATATACAAGCAAGGATACATGTCATCAGCGAATGATGTGGCAAAACAGTGTAACCTTGAACTTGAAAACGAGTGCAAAATTAATACATGTTCCACTACACGTGCAGGACCCCCGGTTTGGCGACGTTCACTACTACAATTACTATGGTAACTTATGGCTTGAAACTGTGTATCCCGTTACACGGTTTACATCGGAATTCGGAATACAATCCCTCCCGAGTGCGTTGGCATGGAGTCGCTCTCTAAGTGATCCGACGGAAGAAGTGCACTGGGATATCAACGGCTCACTGATGAAGCACAGGCAACACAGAGCGGCGAATGAACTCTTCGCGTTGGCAGCGAAGCTAATTGGAGAGCCCACCGAGTTATCGGACATGAAGAAACGATACATCAGGTACACTGTTGGATGATGTTATTAATAGAGTAAAAACTAATAGTTCACACGTTTAGACTGCAATGATAAGATACATATCAAATTGCACGCGCCCGAGAATGTGCGTCTACTATGACCCAAGCTACCTTTTAGCTGATTGCATTAAGTAGCAATACAATCATGTACTTAAGTCACATTATGTAATATATTTTTTGATTTAGTTCTATAAGGAAAAAAGATAGAAATGTATTAGCAATAAGCCAGTATGCCGTACCGACACTTTGCTACCATGGAACGACCACCAGTAAATTTTAGGACACGAATGCTGCGGGGGTTGGCTGCAACTAGGCAAGCTCGAACGCGTGGCACCTGAACTGCAAACCACTGGTCTTGCAGCCAAGCAACTTAGTTTTGATAGCGCATTCATCTTTAATACGATGGGGGAAAAACTAGGCTGAAAGAGGTCAGGCACATAAAAGCAAAAACTTAATGACAAAAGTGAGGGACAATAAACTAGAATCCAATAGAACCAGGAGGTTGTCGGAGAGAGAAGTGTGTACATGGATAAGATATAAATGCAATCTCTGAAGTCCCAGTTGGGGATACAGCTGGTATCAGTACACTGATTGATGTAGTACAGGAGCTGGCGCCGGAATAAAAAGGCAGTTAACTATTGGAGCTCTAGGTTGTTAATGGAAATTTGCCGATCAGTGACCAATTGGTTTGACCATCTGACATGTGATCCGTATGAACCAATTCACGCTTGCATATGCGAGACTGAGCTCACAGTCCCTCTAAACAGAAAGCGAATACTAGAGATCGTGCTGTAGCAAAGTGTCAGCATGATGAACAGGCGCATTTCTGATGCCTGGATATAATTTGTGGAAGAGGCTAGACCAGGCGAAATGACCCCCAAAGTTTGACTGGGAATAGTCGTGATTGACTAGATTAGTCTACAGGAGCTTGGATATGTACGTATTGGTACTTTCTCATGCGATCAACACTACACTTTGTCAAAACGGCGTTGTCCACAAGGACTCAAAACGTGAGCAATTTGGTTTGATTCGATCAGCTGCAAAGGCAGAGCGCTGAAAATCACACACAAATCTGCTAACTGTATGAAATGGGTGTGTTCAGTTTAGAATTGCACGCTAAGGGTAGCTATTCGGAGATAGAGCTAAGCTGACAAATTTTCAACGTTGTGTTCAGAGTACAGTAACGAATAATTAGCTTCGCTCTTCGGTACAACTCGCACGAAGAAAATGGACGCATGAGCATCGCCGAGTCAATAGACAGCACCACAAACACCGTGAGCACTTAGTGGAGGTAATTTTCAAGCTCTCATTGTATGAATGGATTGCAGCACGCTATGTTAGTCGGGAGTACGATGTACTTGTCAATAGGTAAAAAATAAATATTTTATTCGAAGTGTACGCTGGTCATTTCGATCACTGGGATCGAATCGGAAGCAGACGAGCGTTAGATGCAGCCGGCTCGCAGTACCGTACTTCACAACCGGCTTCGGACAGCACAACTTGACCACGAATTGGTGATCACCATGACGTGAGCTGCCATCTGAGATGCGAAATAGCGTGGTAATATTAAAGCTCAGGTCCCGAGTTGCGGTTAAGGTGATCGCTATCTGATGAGCTCAAAAATAGGAAGCTCCCCACAGGACAACAATAATACCTCTATTTCGAAGTTAGGTTATTAGATCCGCTTCGCAATACCAATACGGCGCACAACTCAAGATCGCAAATGTAGATGACGATGATTTCAGATTTCTATGCCATTTCTCAAGTGATTGCATCCTTAACGTAATGGTTTTCACTCGATAGTTACGAAAATTGCTATCCGCTTGCCTCGAATGGACATCTCGTTTGCTCACTCAAGCCATCCTCTCGTCTAGGTGCGCACTAGCATCGGACAATAAGGGTGGGGTGGAAGCAGGGGCTTGTTCACGAACTACCTCCTAACCCCAAATCCTGGGATTTGAAGGTTAGGCGAAGTTAGTACAGTTCCGGACGAACGCAGAAGCAGCAGTGAACATGTCCGGAACATTGGATCGCGACCACTGGTTTGATTGAGCGCGTTGCGAGTGAAGTCAAAACGGTTTCGTAAAGAGGGTTTGAGTGGACAAACGAGAGATTTGTTTGAGGCGAGCGGACAGTTGACTCACCGAGAATATTGTGGATGCAAATTTCGCGACTATCGGATCAGTGCTTTCGCGCTAAGGATGCAACCGGCTGCACTGCGGATGTAAGCCATTGCGTTAAGGATGCAATCAGTTGAGAAATGGTATGGAAGTTACAAAATGTTCACTGGGAGTGCAAAGGGATTTATCTTTGGGAACTTGACTGCCGCCTATTTAAGCTTAGTAGATTGCTAGGATGAAGTGCAAAATTGCGGTCGCACGTGTCAATGGGGTTAATAGCAAGGTAAATTACCTTTACATGCTGTAAACCGGATGCCAGTATCGGTGGAAGGATGTGTAACATTTATGGTCATTCGCTGTGAACAGGTTGGCTTACAAATAACCATGTTATTAGGTGTCAAAAGAACACACAACCATATTGGAATCAGTAGACAGTAACGCTCTTTTGATCTGCGTGCATATAAGGATTATAATCCAATCTGACCTACATTTTTGTCCACAGATGGGCGTACTTGACACAGCTGAATCAAATGATGTCCTACCGAGCACACATCAACCGCCTGATGAGGCATCAGTGTCGATTGGTAGGATCGACAGTGCAACCCGATGAGAAATCCAGCATGGGCGCAATGTATTGGCAACTTAATGACGTTTGGTCAGCTCCCACGTGGTCCACGATAGATGCAGCGGGGCAATGGAAAATGGCGCACTATGGGGCCGTAACCGAATGCTTCCGGTCGCGTCGGTTGGGTCGCGTTGCAGTGTACGTCAATGGGGAACAGCTGGAAGTGGACTGGATACCACCAAACCAATCAAAAATTGCCGTTGTGCCAGACGTATTCGTGATACGATGTTACACCATCATGTCTCTACGGCCCACAGCGGAGTGGAGAATTAATGTGGACTGGCAGCACTATGACACCAGTTGCCCAGTACCTGTGCTCACATCAAGCCTAAGCTCCATGGAGAATCGATGTAACTGGACTGATTCGAACGTGAGTGGCCGAATTGTGCACGTTAGCATGGAAAAGGAAGGTGAGGTAGTAGACGGTGAGAGTTACACTCTGCTAGAAACGCCAGCAGAAATCAATTGGCCCAAGAGAAGCAAGGATCAAGGGGCGCGCGTGACCCAGTTCCGAGAGATACCAAAATCCGAAGTCGATCCACAGGCACCGTTCACACCTACCAGTGTATATGCACTGACAGTGGAGACTATATTACCGGAACTATTCGTCTGGTTGGAGCTAAACTACACATTAGACATGGAATATTGGTTTAGTGAGAATGCTTTCAATTTGCTTACCACCAGTAGTAGGTGGATTCACTTGTATGTATCAAGCAGCAGATTCGTCAGTCCAGAGCGCATACATTCAGCCATTATCTTGAACACATTGACCACTATACGCGAGGAGCACGAAACTTAATGAGAAAAGCCATCTAGTACTCCGAAAACTGTGAATGTTTTCCCTCATCTTTTGTAAACACACGCAAACTAGCCCGTGCTTCCTCATGTGGTCGTTTGCAGTTGGAAAGTATACATACATGCTGATAGATTTTATCTTGTGTGCTTGACATGAGATGGGATAAAACGGAAGACGAATCGCGGTCTACGTCCAATATTTCAAAAAAAGATGATGGTGGCATGATTTCGCACGGTTCAAGGTTTATCGGCGTGGGGCTGCTGTGGCCTTGCCGGTGAGCCAGACTATGGTAGCGACTAACTCACTGTACAACTGCCTAACATGAATAAGCAATGATTGGAAACTTGATCATAACCGATAAAACGATAGGCGCAACAACGAGAGTCATGTGACGAAGGTGTAAAGTGTGGATAATTACTATCTTAAAAAAGTGTTTTTGCTACTGGAACGACGAAGATAAGCACATGGGAAGCGTACGTTACGTCAGCACAGACATTGGACGGGAACATGACTCGCTAAATGATCGCGATAAGTCGGAAGGCCGAGTGAGGTTGGATCTGTTGTGTTACTGACAGTCAGTGATGAATCCTCCCAGGGCCGCCTTGATTCACCTCCGAACAGCAGTCATCCGTTTCCCACAACACCGGTGGCAGTTTCGGTGTTGGTGGCCTCTGGAGCTGTAAAATTAACGACTAAAATATGTAACATCGTTCAGAAGGCAATTCGGCACAGACGAGAGTATTCGGTACACATCCGTATGACAATTTTGCACTAAAACAGCCCACGACATGAGGTGCGGCCTAGAGGGAGTGAGGAAACAGCTATCGCCGCAAACAGTGAAGTGAAGAACAGATTAGGTCAGGGATGTCCAAAGTCCGACCTGCGCTAACATTTCAACTGCCTCGCGGCCTCATTATGGAATAATAAATTTAGGCTTAGACATTTTACGCACATGCGTAATTGTTATTATTATTAATGGCAGATGAATATGGCTCGACATATTTTTACCTCACGAAATGTGGCCCAGCGTGTAAAATGTTTGGACACCCCTGGATTAGATAGTCTTCAGCTTCACTTTAGCTGACCCGAGGGAATGAAAATCCGCAGCAAACGTCAGCGGTTCGGTTGACCCCACAAAAGTGCGGTAGACCGTATCCATGAGAACAACTGAGAAGCGACACAAGCCAGCTATATGTTGTTCTTTTTTCAATCCAGGCCATAGAAAGTAGGGATAAAGCATATGCATCCGCCGCCAACGATGGAGCCGAAGTTCGATTGTCATGTATGCTCCCATAGATGAGGTGGCAACATGTCAGCGTTTTTCTCACGCTACTCAGCAGACCACGAGGATTGCATCCTGAGGATCAGCGTGGCGGTTGTGAAGAAAATTTGCCTGTTTCTGAAGCTTTGACTGTTCATGTTATTCACTGGGAGATGTATCGCGCATGATCAACAAGAAATAGGACGGTTGAGGAAACGCCAGGCCATGGTTCACAGAAAAACAAGGGATGAGAATTAGGTTGACCCTCCATGCGCTGTTTAAATGTGGTGTCAACGGTTAAACAAATTGGGCCCACTGTAATGGTAAACGAAGGTGGATTAGGCAACCACCAGCGACGTAGCATGTGTGTTGGCGGAAACACGTGAGTAGACTGACGGAGTCAGAGTGCAAAAGCATTGAGATTTGCAGAACTGGTAAGAAATAAAGTGTGTTAAAAAATCGACATAGCACTCGGTAATCGCTAGATAGCATGATCGAGTGAAGGACACATTGCATAGGTATGGCTGGTTGCAATGCTTTGGCCGACCGATGAAAATTACTTGGTTTACCGAGCCAATGGCTGACCCTGCAGACAGAGGAATGTGGCTGATCTGAAATCGGGCAAAGAAATTAATCTTCGCTCATGTCTAAAGACTCAGTTTTCTGAGATTCAGCGAAATGCAGAAAAATCGCACAATGTATTATTTGCCAGGAAAATTAATACTTGGGCTGAATCGCGGAAAAAGTAAAAATTCATAAAGAAATCTATTTTGAATTCGTTTTATGTTGCCCAACGCATCAATGTGATTGCAGAGAACCTTCGGGAATGCACTCCGGAAGTCGAGGGATTCGTTGTAAGCAGGAAAAACGCTTTGCGTCTTTCGGGAAGAAAGAGGCGTTTCTGTATTGAGTAGCTAACTCAGGAAGGCGTAGATAACCCGAGCGGCCCATATGCATCGGTTAGCAACTGCCGGAACTCCTGGCTGGAAGCTGTCGCACATGACAGTAAATGTTTATATCATACCCAGCCAGGTTACAAGCTGTACAACATCAGTTTGGAGACTTAGCTGGTGTCTGTAAACATGCGGATATTCGAACCAACGGAACTATACGGAATGCTTTGAAGTGACAAATAAGTTGCACTGCGACTGTTGGCAAGAATACCACCCGTCACTTAAAAACTTCCGAATGACAATCCTCGGTCCATCGCAATGAAACTGGGCATTACCGTGGTGCGATCCATCGAGCTATGCGGGGTGGTGCTTCGCGCACTTTCAGCACCACTCATCCCAGAAGGTTCAATGGTTAGAGGCCAAAAAGACTCAGTCACCTGGTCCTGGTTAGAGTTAGGGCGGCTTCATAATCCTTAGAACAAACACCTTGTAGTCCACTACCAAACCCGTTGCCTTACGGTCAGGTCGTTCCGAACTAAAAGTTTGGTTGAGAACCCTAATCGTTCTCCTGTCTTGGTTTGGGCAACGTGACAGTATCCTACTAATCCAATACTATGATTTTCTCTTCAAACAATATGTTGATGATCTGGCCGTCGCAGAGGATAATTAAAGGCGCTCTATATCCTGCATCGAGCATAGTGAATAGTGGTTTGGATTCGCCTGCTCAAGGCTTCCCGTCTTCTTATCCCCCCTCTTACACTTCTTCATCCTTATCGTCGCGTTGCAACTACACTTTTATCTCCCCGTTTCCAACCCTTCAATAGTTTGCCGTCGCACCATGCCTAAATAGGCGTTTACCTTCCTATTTCAACTCATGCAAACGCTGAGCGTCTCTACTGCCCTATCAAGAAGACCATGTCTAACCAAGCGGTTAACTCCCGTTTATCGGCTTCTATTTCGAGCCTTCAATCCTCCTTCAGATTGGCAGTCCTTAATATGGCTGGCGGAATCCGGTTTTGGATTTGCTTGTCACTGTGGCCATGCACAGGACGCTTACGCATATAGAGGGACCATGGGTGGCTTGCGCTGCACCACCCACAGTTCCAACCACACACCCCGTATCCAGTGTAAACCCGAAGAAAGAAGACAGGGATGGGAGCCACGTTTCATCAACGGAGTCGACCCACACCCCTTCACAGGCAAACACAAACACGCTGTATTTGGGAATCAAGCGCACACAAGGCGGTGGCTGGAGAGCTGTCCGCTCCACACTGAGTGCATGGAACCGCTCTTTGAGCCTAGCACGGCCACAAGGACTGTGCACCCCGTTCCCGCTAGCAACGACCAACTGTCCCCTAGAGCCAGTATAAACGAGGTAGTGGGTACTAGACAGGTAGGCACCTTGTCAGCATGCACATCAAGTGCAGACACACTGGGGATATCAAACAACTGCTAATCACTTGAAATGACATTATCAAACAAAATATATCTGTTTAAGCATACGGCTACGCCGACCTAACTTTTCGCTAGATTAACATATGAAGTAAGTTGGTTAGCAAGGAACCCGCGATAATTACAAAATGTTCAGAAGTTATACAAAAAGTGCCACAAACGCGATACAGTTAACGAAGATAACCACAATAAGCGTAAGCGACGAGTGCAAGTTAATAGAAGATATTTCAGGTAGGCAGAACAAAGGAAATAAAGTGGAATAAAATTTATCCAGTTTAATATACGCACATCCTTGCAGACTGGTAAACAAGCAGCACCTGCCGGAACATTAGAAACCTT